GGCAGTGCGTCGAGTGGGCTCACGCAGGAGACTCGGTGGTGACGTGGCAGTGCGTCGAGTGGGCTTACGCAGGAGACTCGGTGGTGATGTGGCCGTAAGTCGAGTGGGCTGAGACACTCACTGCGGCAATGTTTATGAGAAATGCTTTGGGAGTTGTAGGCACTAGACAGAGGAGATCATTGATGACCTGTGGACAGATGGAGGAGAAAGATACAGGAAGGAAGACAGGATGTTAGGGCTTTCTCCTAATGCACGTGCACCAGGGCAGGGAGAGTCAGGCAGGAGCCAGAGGGCTGGAGGCCTCCGGAGGAGCGGGGAGATGGTGAAGCTGAGGAATGGCACATGGGTCCTAATGACCTGCTTACGCTTACGGAGGTGCCCTCACTGGGGTCCGGCCTCGTTCTGCTCCAGCTGGACCCCTCCCTTCTCCATGTCTTTCTTTCCTTTTCTCTAACATGTAAATACTCAGGCGTTCAGTTTCTCAGTGAGATCAATACTTTTTTTTTCTACAAAGTTCAGAAGTAAATATTTCAGACTTCGGTAGCCGCATGTTATCTCAGTCATATAACCCACCCTCAATCTTTAAAACAAAATCATTCTTTGGGGATGAAGCTTCTACAATATTGAGCTGAATTCAGCCCCGGAGCTAGAGTTTATAGATCCCTGCTGTAATGTCTCTCAGAAATTAATTTCATTAAAATATTGATGTCACAGTATGGGGACAAGGTCAGTATATTCACTAAATGTGGTTTTGAGAGGTAATACATGCTGGCTGTTTTTATCTATAAAAACACAGCTCTCTAACTTCAAAGGGATTATGATACTCATTCTTGAACCAAGTATGAGTTCCCATGGCCTAGGAGTATGGACGTGGGTCGCCGCCGAATGGCATGCTACACTGTAGTAGTGGTTACATAAACCCCTTCGTGAGCCAGTACATTTGCTGTATACACTGGCAGAGATACCAGACAGGCAGGTTTCAGAAAGCAGGAACTCTGCTGATGATCATAGATGTTGTCTGACATGCTTAGCTTCTCGAACAGTAGAAGCTAGTGGTCTGTTAATAACTTAAAACATCCCAAAGGCTTCACTAGATAGGAGAATGTTAGGTCAGAAGCAGAGATGGGTAATGCATAGCTGTTGAAGGAACTAACGATAGCCTAAGATAGCTTTAGCTCTGGGTCTGCAGCATTCCAACTCTGTCCAACCAAATGGTTCTACTCAGCCAATCAGTGTCAACACCAGGGAGGCTTTTTTAGGGAACGTTAGTTCACATCTTCTTCCCAAGAGTGTCTGTCTAGTTTTCCCTGGCTGGCTCCCTTCATTGTTCTGCCTGGCTTGATGTCATTTCCTCTCTGGACGCTTTGCTGGTCTGAGTTCGTGCCCTTTCTGCATACTCCTATGACATCCAGTGTTACATGCCTAGAATTAGTGGTAACACTTCATCCTTGTTTGCCTCCTCTTTCCTGACAGGCCCTGAGCCTACTGAGCAGGGAAAATGCAGCCTCTGCTTTCTCAGTAGCTGAGCTGTAAGTGAAAGGAAGGGCTGAGGGTAAAGTGGAGACTGGGGAACAGTCAAACTGGGATTCAGATGACAGCTCATGGTTGATCGGTCATCTGACCATGACAACTCATCCAGCTTCCCCGTGCCTGTGCCACCACAGCTGCTTCTGCGGGTTGTGATGAGGACACGGTGAGATGCAAGAGACAGCGTGGGGTGGGGGGTAAGGATGCAGACACGGATCCAGATGCCTAGATCTCACCAACGTCTAGCTGCACAGCACCCGGCAGCTTTAACTTCTGTCTGTCTCAGTCTCCTCACTTGAAAATCCATACGTTAGCAGTCCCCAACTCAGAATATCATTTTGGAGATTCAGTGAGAAAATTAATGAAGCACTTAGAGTAGTAGCTGTTTCCCAGTAATGTCAATAGTAATTATCTAATGAGTGGACTTGACTTGGGTCTTAGCTGCTTAGTGTTTCCTCCTAGTCCGTATACAGTGAGTGCCTTCTGTGTGCTAAACATGCAGAGCTGTGACTGTGACCTTGAGTAAGCCTCTGCATGTGATCTGGGGTTTACAGTTGTTCATGGAGAGCCACCCTTTACAAAAACCTCCGTCTGAAAGACGGGAGATTCTGATCGCAGTGGATCTTGCCATTGCTGTTTACTTTCTCCAGTGTGAACACATTAGCACAGACCCACATGTGGTCCAGCAGAGAGAGGAGAAGCAGGTGCAGAAGCAAGGGTTCCCTATGCGTCTCTGCTGCTCTTGTCATACATGTCTTGAGTTTGTCCCTAGCGTCACACTTGGCGTTTAACTTTCAGTGGAATTCAGCCCATGTTTTTCCACCGTGCTTAAGGGCTTTGGAGGAATCACTTGAACCAGGTCATTTGTAACATGCGTTTGCAGCTTGCCTCAGTTTTCCAGCAGGTGAGAGGGGGATGTATACTAGCCTCCAATCCTGTAGATGCAGATGACGTCTCACTGACTCATCACCAGCAGGTAGGATGGGTAACATGCAAAGCCTTGCCGTTTTTACAGCTAGTTTTTTTCTTTCTGACAGGGCAGACAGTTTACAGAAGAATCAAGACTTGGAGTTTGAAAGAAACAGAGAACGATTTGAGTTTTTAAAGGTACGGACCAGAGTTCAGTTTCTCTGTTCGATTTTCTGTGTTGGAGGGACATTGAGGAGAGGCGTGCAGGCCAAGTAAAAATGTTTTCAGTGTTCTTCCTGTTATTCAATCCTAGTGGGGTTCCCAGGCCTTTTGCAACATGAGAATTATTCCTCCTGGCTCAGGAATCATTCACCAGGTGAATCTGGAGTATTTGGCAAGAGTAGTATTTGATCAGGATGGATGTTACTACCCAGACAGCCTCGTGGGCACAGATTCTCACACTACCATGATTGATGGTCTGGGAGTTCTTGGTTGGGGTGAGTCTTCTCCCACATTCCTGTCATGTACACTCTTCTAGAGCATGCCTCTCACTCACTGCCTGTGTTTGCATGGCTGTCTGGAGAATGCACCTCACTCACTGCCTGTGTTTGCATGGCTGTCTGGAGAATGCATCTCACTCACTACCTGTGTTTGCATGACTGTCTGGAGAATCCACCTCACTCACTGCCTGTGTATGCATGGCTGTCTGGAGAATGCACCTCACTCACTGCCTGTGTATGCATGGCTGTCTGGAGAACGCACCTCACTCACTGCCTGTGTTTGCGTGGTTGTCTAGAGCATGGCCCTCACTCACTGCCTGTGTTTGCGTGCCTGTCTAGAGCATGCCCCTCACTCACTGCCTGTGTTTGCATGGTTGTCAAGAGCATGCCCCTCACTCACTGCCTGTGTTTGCATGGTCACAGAGGAAGGTGCTTTGTCTGCTCTACTCAATGCTGTATTTTCAGTGCCTGGAAGTGACATTCACTTTCTACTTGGAAAAATAAACTGAATTAAGTTTAAGGACACTTGTATAAGTGAAAATCAACTAGGCATTTGTTAACGATGGTGCCTCCTAAATCTGCTCTCTATTATTAAGTGTGGCATAGAAGAGATTTTGGTACAGGTCCTTGGGGAAGGCACACTCTGTAGAGAGAATAGAGAAAAATGAGTGTTCCTTGGGGAAATGCAGCTCTATGCCAGGTGAGCGTGCTGGCTGGGCTTCTTGACTCTGTGGCTGAGGGACAGAGAGGACTATCAAAGCGTTATTCTGCTGTGCTGTTCACTGCAGGTGTAGGTGGTATTGAAGCAGAGGCTGTCATGCTGGGTCAGCCCATCAGCATGGTGCTTCCCCAGGTGATTGGCTACAAGCTGATGGGGAAGCCTCACCCTCTGGTAACATCCACAGACATTGTGCTCACCATTACCAAGGTAATGATGTGTGTGTGTGTGTGTGTGTGTGTGTGTGTGGCCTCTTCCACACCTTAGAAAGCCAGTGACAAACAGGGAATAAACACAACGAAGTCTGTGCTACAGAGAGGCTAGGATACAATATGTTAATAGCTATTAAAATAAAATAAGATGAAAGTGATTCTTGTGGTTAAATTTAGATGTTTTATTTTTTAATTTTAAAAATTGTGACATAAAGTATGCAGAAATTAAAATCATTTTCATATTCCTGCCACTGAGATTTTTTTTTTCAAGACAGAGTCTTACTATGTATATTTCTGGCTGTCCTGGAACTCTCTGTAGACCAGGCTGTCCTCAGACTCAGAGAGATCTGCCTGCCTCTGCCTCTCAAGTGCTGGAATTAAGGTGTATGCCACTACACCAGGCTCCTGTCCCCAAGATTTAAAGGCATGATAATGTCCTGCCAAATTTGCTTCTGAGCAAATAAATTTTAATATTTTTAATGAATTAATGTGTCTTTATAATTAGCATGTATTTATGATTCAGAAGATCTTCTCCTTCCCAGACATAATCACTGTGTTGAGGTTGAAAATTATTCCCACACTTATTTTACACTTTTGCCACAATTCTTTGTATATGGATCTCTTTTGAGTTTTATTACCTTTTTTACCTCCCTGCGTATATGAGACAGGTCAAGGCACATGTGGAGTACAGAGGAGAGATAACCTTTGGAATTTAGTTCTGTCCACTGTGCTGTTTCTCGGGTCCCACCTGGATTTTAAGTTACTTTATTGTAACAGATGTATGTACTAGTTGGAAAGTATTAGAGCTTTTTCTTAAACTCTTGCAGGAACGCCCTCCCTTCCCCCTTTTTTATTCACTTTACAGAAAGCATCCACTGAATTTTTCCATGGAACATTGTTTGTGGTAGCAAGTATTGTGCACGATGTCTTTAAAAACAAATTACTTCAGTACTGCAATTGTATAAGAAGTAAGGTGTTTCATGGTCTTTATTTTAAACACTTTTTTTCTTAGTCATATAATATAGAAGCCATTTGTATAGACCCTGTGCTGAAAAAGCTGAAAGGTTTTCTTTGATTTAATCTTTATAGACTATAGAATTGGATTTATTGGAACACCACAAATTGTCAGTTTTTTTCAAAAATAGAATAACAGGGCTCACCCCAAAAGTGTGTTAAAATGTGTGTAAAGGGCTTTCTGTACAGTCTCAGCTGTCCATGAAGCTGGCTTCCTGAGGAAGACAGGAGATGCACAGTCTGTGGAATGTATGGTAAATAGAACCAGGCATTATAAAAACAAATACATTACATAAAAACAAATCATTTACCCAAATCCTGTGCTTCATTCTGATGTTTGTCATTTAGAACACTTGACCCTGGTGTTAATCACATTATTTGCCACTTTTTCTTTCTTTTTAAAATATAAGAATAAATTTGCTACAATCTCAGGTTTATAGGAGCGTTGACTGGGAAACGAGTAGAGTCCCCGCTGCTTCTTCCCAGCTCCCCTAATGTCACAACACAATGGCCTTCTCAAAACTAAGGTTAACATTGGTATAGTGCCCCTAACTACAGTGTCACCCATCCCTCAGTGATGTCCCTTTGCCATTCTGGGATCCAGTTCTAGATGCCTTGTTGCTTTTAGAGAGCATTGCAAAGAAGTAGTTCTGTGTTTTAAACACATGCTGTCAAGCCTCACACGTTCCTGTTGTTTCCACTGTATAGCACCTCCGACAAGTTGGGGTTGTGGGCAAATTTGTGGAGTTTTTCGGGCCAGGAGTGGCCCAGCTATCCATTGCTGACCGAGCTACGATTGCCAACATGTGCCCAGAGTATGGCGCGACAGCAGCCTTCTTCCCAGTTGATGAAGTTAGCATTGCGTACCTGGTACAGACAGGTAAGCAAAGGGCTCAAGGCAGAGCTACTGGGAATTACAGCCCTGCCTTCCACCTCTGACCATACCATGCTCTTGTATTAGACTTTCTCTCCTTCTCTGTGGAGACAGAGTATGTTGTCAAATTTAAGATGTCAAATGGAGCTATGATGGCCAAGAAAGAGCGCTCTCTGGTACCCCAGAACCCAGATGTGTGTGCTGGTTTTCAGCTGATTTCTTTACATTGACACAAGAGATCTTAGTGATAGTAACTGTTGTCCCTGGGGTGCCTTTTGGGTACCCCCGTCATACACTGGTAGGGTAGATTGATGGATTACTTGCTTAAATAATTGGAGAGGAAACCTAGAATCAGAGCTGTGTAATTAACCAAGGCTGATAAGGAGCAGATGGAGAATCAAAGGCTGTGGCTGGCTTACTCAGAACACCAGCGGGCTCAAGCTTGTATTCCTGGCGATATGACACTGGGGATTAAGACTTTAGACGTTAGATACAAATTCAGATTCTTGGTTCTGCCTTGTCCTAGCTGTATTCCTTAGAGAATTTACCTAATAATTTTCCTGAGCTAGCATGTCCTCATTAGTAAATGATGATAATGGTGCTTGTTTCATGGGATCAGAGATTGAAGTAATTCATCTGAAGCCCTTAGTGCACAGTGCCAGACACACTGAAGTACTGGTGAGCCAGAGGTACGAGGTCAATAGTAATTGTTTCAACAAAGTAATGCTAAGAGGTTCTGTGGCAAGCTGAGGGCAGAAGCATGGGTGGAGTTGGGCAGTGGGCTCCTGCTGAGGATCCTCCTGATAAGGAAGTGTCACTCTAAGTGGAGCCAGGATCTGTTCTGTCCACGTCACTTGGGTAGGAGCAGCAGATGGTGCTGATGAGAAGCAGCATGGAGGCCGATAGCAGAACCGTTGGTGTATATTCACAGGGAGCTGCAGACGGGCTCTCAGCTTGTAGTCTTTCACCAGGAAATAGTAACATGCTTATTTGTTACTGATGCCACTTAGGTCGTGAGGAAGACAAAGTCAAGCACATTCAAAAGTATCTTCAGGCTGTAGGCATGTTTCGAGATTTCAATGACTCCTCTCAAGACCCAGACTTCACTCAGGTAAGAGAGCTAGCAGCCAACACGTTTCTTCTTTCTGAGGTCCCAATTGCAGTGGTCTTTGTTTTTTCAGGGGTGGTCCAATTGTGGGAAATTAGTTTCTGTGTTGTTATTATAAGGGACAGAACAGGGTGGCAAAGGGTGAAAAATGAGAAGAAGGTTAAGGACATAAACACACCACAGTGACTTCTTAATGTGCCTGCTGACCTAATCTCTGTGAATTGAGTGCCCCCTTCCCTGCCTACTGATTGACACTTCTGCTTGGCAGACTTTATTAAAATTGCTGAGCTATTTAAAGGCCAAGGCCATCATTGTTACAGTCCTGGAAAGAACTAAAGGCACAACCATATCAGTGGTTTTGCTTATCCGGTGATTTGCTTTATTTCCTAGGGGGAAAACTGAATCCATAGTTTTCCAAGCAGCCACAATTAGAAAGTAAACCGACTTGGGGGTCCCAGTTTTCATGTGTCAAGGGAAAAAAGTACTCATTAGGTTGTCAGACTATTTTCTGCAGTGATGGATTGTGGGTACGTCCCTCAGTAGAAAACCCATCTCAACCTGAAAGCCGTGTGTGAGCTACCCTACAGCCTAGGGAGTGGAAGAGAGCAGGTAGCCCATGTCCACCCTGTCCAAAGCTGCAAAGAGTCCTGCCAGCCCATGCTACTCCTGTACCCATCTTAATATTGGGGAATTAACCTTGCACATGGTAAGAGAATTGCTGGCTCCCTAGTTTTAGAACATGGCTGCATTTTTTTTTTTTTTTGGTTGTTTATTGTTGGGGTGCTCTAAGTTTCTGGTGTGGTTGTGCTGTTTCTTTATGAAGTCTATAATTGCTTTTGGCTTGGGAGAACAGGTTGTGGAGTTAGATCTGAAAACAGTTGTGCCATGCTGCAGTGGACCAAAAAGACCTCAGGACAAAGTTGCTGTGTCTGAGATGAAAAAGGATTTTGAAAGCTGCCTTGGAGCCAAGGTAAGGCCTCTGGACTCTGCCTGTGTCTTAGGTTCCATGTTTCACAACACCTTGTTAGGAATCTTCCTGAAGCCTGGCGCCAAGGGCATTTCTTCTCTATCTAAACACTTTTGTGGTTCCCCCATTAGCTATGGGCCCAGCAGCTTCCCTGTATCACATGCCTCCCTCTATGCACAGCCTGTTTATGTACATATCCTTTTCACACGAAAACCCATTTTCTTCAGTTTTGTTGGCCCTATTCACACACACTCTTTAGGTCTCTGAACTTTTGCTCTGACCTCTCTGTGTGTGCATGTCTCTGCTCCATCCTCTGACATCCTATTCTGTTCAATCCATAAAGTTATGCTCAGATACCCTTCTCTGTAACATGGCCCCAAGCATCTCCTAGCAGGAAGTCATCTTTCCTCACTTGAAACTTCATGGCACTTAGCTGAAGCCCATTGGGTGAGGTCCCATATTCTTTAATTTAGATTGTTGCATGTATGTTTTCCCTTACTGGCCTGTGCCTTTGAGCATAAGATTTGCATCATAATCAATCTGTTACCACACAAAGCTCCCAGCATGATGTCTGCTGCTCAGTGGGTGTCTCCCAAATGAGAGGTTGAGATGGATTTTATCCACAAGGCATCAGCCTTATACCAGATGTTCAGCTGTGCCTTACATTACTGATCAGAGTAATTGAAAGTAATATTAATTAATATCACCTTCTCCAAACTTCCACGTGGTCAGAATCAGTAGTCTCAGGCCATACCCACTGAACTGCATACTAATAATGATTTAGGGTTCTTTGCAGGCTAACTTTGAACTGTGTGTAGATTTAGTCTCCTAGTCTTCAGGAGAGGAGAAAGCAATTGCTATTAACTTCATTGCTGAGCAAGATTCAGGACTCACAACTACCTTTGTGAATATTTAAAAAGAATAAAGAGAAGTTGAAACTTGCTGGGCTATTTCAAAGTTCACTCACAGAAGTATTTGTTCTGTTCACAGTTGGCACTAAGATTACTATCAAAGTTCTTCCAAAGTGAGAAGTTTGATCATGCATATTTTTCTCTTTATAGCAGACCATGTGTGTCCTATTTCTTTCTTACTACATGTAATGTTTTCAACCTTCCCTCCCACAGCAAGGATTTAAAGGTTTTCAAGTTGCTCCAGACCATCACAGTGACCACAAGGCGTTCATCTATAATAACAGTGAATTCACTCTTGCTCACGGCTCTGTGGTAATTGCCGCCATCACTAGCTGCACAAACACCAGCAATCCATCCGTGATGTTAGGAGCAGGTGAGTGCGAATGGTTCCAGCCGCTTTACAGATGTAGACACTGATTGGCCCAGAAAATTCCTACTCAACAAGAAGCATCCAATACAAAGCATTTGAAGTAGAAATTCATAGTGTCTAACACCCTTTCCTTTTATACTTAGCACAGAAAATAAGTAGAGGAAAGCAGAGGAAGCAGGATTTCTGCTAACACTTAGAATCTGGCTCTGTCTGAGAAAGAAAGAAATAGAAGAAGAACCTGTTGTTGTGTCATAGACTTTGTTCCCGTAAGCTCCACCTGGACAGTGAACTTTGCACTGTCTTGGTGCACTGGCAGTTGCAGCCGGACTGGGGCACAGGGCACCGGCCAATCAAGCTCCGTGTGCCCAGCCGGTTGTGCAATGCTGAGAAGCAGTTAATAGTTACATGCAGAGTTCACTGTTAAAAGAGCTCCTTAGTCCAGATGTTTAGTCACCCTAGAGAGCCCCCTTGACTCCAGGGACCAGAGCCAACAGTTCTTTCTTAGTGGGCCAAAGGGAAACCTTTTTAGGGTTCATCTTTGCCACCTAAGCTTTCCATACCTATCTGGAATGAACCAGTTTTATCAGGCAACCTCAGCAGCCCGCCATGGCCTTGTCTCCTTGCTCCCTCACCTCTTTGCCTCGTGTCTTCCCAAAGCTGTGTTGCTTATGGAGTCAGAGTACAGGGTTTCCCATCACAGTTCAGGAGCCCAGGGCTTCTGGTCTTCTGCTTTATGAGTATCTGTGCTCTAGGTCTGTTATAGGCCGCCTAGGTTTTGCTGTCATTCAGTACACAATTTATGTATCTCAGAAAAGCCCTTCCCAGTTGCAATTTTCATCTAAACCCAAACAGGTACTATTAGATAATTTTCCCTCCAAACTTTAAAAACCCATTTTATAAAATATTCCTAAATGGCTTAGTTTTATTTCTTTCATTTGTTCAGTTGATTGCTTTTGTTTTTTGAGAACTTGCAGTGTATACCAGGTTGGTCTAACCTCACAGAGATTCTGCCTCCTGGATGCTGGGAGTAAAGATGTGTGCCACTGTGCCAGGCTGATTTGTGTTTATTAAAAGAGCAAGAGGTCTGCCTCTTGCTTTATTTCTGTGACTCATTTGGGCTTACTGCATGCATCAACTCTCCCTGGGTAGTGACCTTTTGATCTATCAGTCAAGAAATGTAACTGGAAAAAAACCAGGCTTTTTCCTAATGTGTTCTTAACACATAAATAAATGGCCACCCATGCTGTGTCTCTGTTCACCATTTCACAGGATTGTTAGCAAAGAAAGCTGTAGAGGCGGGGCTGAGTGTGAAGCCTTACATCAAAACCAGCCTGTCTCCTGGAAGTGGCGTGGTCACCTACTACCTTCGAGAGAGTGGAGTCATGCCTTACCTATCCCAGTTAGGGTGAGGAAGAGGGTGTTTGTTTTGTTTATGCCTTAGCTTTTGTGGTCGTCCTCTGGCATCTCTGTCTGTGTATAGGAGCTTTGAGCTTATCTGGTGCTATGTACTTTGATAGCATTTTATCACAGGTAAAATGTGACAGAAGTCTAGCTTTCTAACTGCATGGGGCCCAATGGATAGTTGTGCTAGTTCATCATACATACTAGAGCCAACCCTGGGTTTCTGAGTGACATTCCCTCCTTTCCCCAGAAGAGGGCGCTGTCCTCATTTGTACTGAGATGAACCACGAGCTGGTGGAGGGGCTGTGTAGTTGAGTCTGCATTTTGGCATGGAGGTAATTACTCACATGGCTGCAGTCGTTCAGCCCTCGAGGCAAATGAGTGATTAGATGCCAAAACATATTCTCCCATTACTGTGCTAGTTTGAATAACAGCTGCTTTCCCCATGTGTTTTCTAAAATTCAAAAGATTTGGGGAACGCACAGTAGTAGGAGATGGGGACATTAAATGGCACATCTGGTTTCAACTTTTAAATATTCTAAATCATTCAAATCCCGTGTTACAAGCTTTAAGTTGTCAGTAGCATCCTGTCCTAAACTCACTCCACTGCCATTCCTTTATGACCCGTGGCCTCCGGGAGTACTCCAGCAGAGGGGCTCGCTGAGCGGACCTGTCCTGTGCTTTGACACCTAGGTTTGACGTGGTGGGCTATGGCTGCATGACCTGCATTGGCAACAGTGGACCCCTTCCTGAACCTGTGGTCGAGGCAATCACGCAGGTAATTACAGAGGTCTGCGTTCTGCAGACCTCCTGTCTGAGTTCATATAACCTGTGGCAGATTCTCGAAGTTTTAAGACAGTCCTTGGGATGGGATGTGGTTAAGAATATGCTTTAGAGGTAAGGTTAACGAGGAGAAGTCACTAGCTGTGTAACACTGGGCAACTAAATTAGCTGGTCCGTGCCTTGGTTTCCACAGCTGTACACTGGAGATGATACAGCACCTGGTTTAGAGAATGCTGAATGGAGGGACTGGCCAGCCCAGGCGAGGCAAGCATGGGTCTGCCAGACCTTACTCTTCTCCCTCATTCCATCTGCCTTATTAAAAACTATCTATCCCCTTACTTGGCCACTTCCTCCTCCTGAGGCTGACTACCAAGGTCTAGCTATCCAAGTATTAAAGTCCAACAATCAAAAACTCCCTTTGCCTGCCCTAATAATGGCCAATCAAAATTAAACACTTCATCCTAGCACAGGGTTTACCTTTATCTTCCCCTTTACCTTTACAAACTGCCATTTCCCTGTGCATCACATCTCTCTCCTCTCTATCCAGAGATAGTCCTTTGTCATGTGCCCCCCACCCCCCAACACACACCGAAACAAATATCCCTTCCCCTTTCCCTCATCCTGTCTCCTGTCTTTGTCCCTTCTTCCCTTCCCTTTGATCAGCTGGGGCAAATAAATGTACTTTGTGCTGAGAACTTGGTCTTTGGGTGTCTTGAGGGTCCCTACACTGAAAATGATGATAATAAAAGTAAACTGCTTAGAACAGTGCCTGGCACACAGGTGAGGGCTCAGATCATGCCTGGCACACAGGTGAGGGCTCAGATCACGCTTGTTTTGATGACAAGGGGCTCTAAAATTGTTTGCTGCTGGTCATTTGAAACTTGGTTCCAAATCATACATATCCCCTTATATAAACTACCTCAGTTGGTTTGGCTTCTGGCCCTACAGATATATAGCCCTGAAAAGCACTGTTGGACCTGTCACTGTAGTTTTCTTCAGCTGTCACCTTTTTGACCTTTCTTGGTAGTCTCTCCTGGCCTTAGACTCCTGCAGCAAAAATTATGTCATATGCTGACCTGTCTGGTATTTTCTCAAGAACAGAAATTACTGACCACTACTCCCTGCATTTGACCCCAGAGCATCTCCCCTTGGAGTACCCCTCCATGCCCTCCTCCCTGTAGCAGACCTGAGGAAAGGGTGGCTGACATCTTTGTCCACATCATGTGAAAACTGACCCGACAGAAGTCTAGGTAGTGCCTGTCTTGTGAACTGATAGTTCTCTTGCCTCCCACAGGGGGATCTCGTAGCTGTTGGAGTACTGTCTGGGAACAGGAATTTTGAAGGCCGAGTCCATCCTAACACACGGGCCAACTACTTAGCATCTCCCCCACTAGTAATAGCATATGCAATTGCAGGCACCATCAGGATTGACTTTGAGAAAGAACCTTTGGGTAAGATTTTGGGGTTTGTGACCGTCTCTTTCTAGTGAATTGAAAAGATAGACTGGAAGGAAGTTACTAGTTTTGGGGGCATACTGCCACGTCTTAAAGCTAGGACTTAGAAAGCAGAAGCAGGCAGACCTCTAAAAGTGAGCTCCAGACCAGTCAGGGCTACACACTGAGACCTTGTTTCTAAACAAAAGACTCTAGAGATGAGACAAGAGAGCTCTCTTCACTGTTCTCAAGGATACAGCCAAAAGACAAAGGAAGAAGCAAAACTCTATTGGGGGTGGTAGGTGGCAAAAAGGACATAAAGTCTGAACGTATTAGCAATTTGCTGTTCTGTATTCTTCAGTCCTTGGCTTTTACCTCCTGCTGGCCTCCCGAGGCTGGCTTCCCACTTCGCACCCTGTATGAGCACACTCCTGGTGTTTCAAAGTCTCACAGTCCCAAGTGCTGCTTTGCCCTCTGCATCCTCACTCCAGCCTGAGGAGATTCAGTGTGGCAGCCATCCCTTAGATTTGCATTTAGGAAATAGAACTCTAGCTACAGTTGACCCTCTGTGCCTTTAGATTCTACATTTTCAGTTATCCCTACTCACTAAGATGTATTTGAACCTAATTCAGTATTCCCAGTGTTGTCAGGGAGACGTGAGCTGGGGGAAGCTGCGTCACCTAGTACACATCTTCACTGTGCCACAGCCAGACACGGCATCATTCTGCCCTCTTGCCTCGGCTCTTAAATCTGTAAACAAATGTCCTTTACATAGTCAGCATTGCTTTCACTTTAGATAGCCTGGAGCATAATCCTGACCTGGCATCCAGTGTTGTACACACAAGAAGCCAGTGGTGTGCCTGACGTTGACAAAGGCTTCCTTCAGGCATGATGTGTGCTGTTGGCTCTGAGTTAGGAACAGTATTCTAAGCCTTCCTCAGTGTCCAGAGAGCATTGACTTCAGGAACCTCTGGGGATACTGAAGTATGCTAGAACTCAAGTGCCTCATAGCAAATGACAAAGTATTTCATGTTAGGTGCAGGCCACCCCTAAGGACACTCATGACACCTGTGACACTGTCAACGTTGTATAAATGTTGTGTAGGGAATAATGAGAAGAAGGATGTACAAGATCAGTGCAGACACTCTTTGTTTTCTGTTTTCAGTCTATAGCTGATTGCAGTAACAAATTCAGAACCTACAAGCTCGGCGCCCAGCTGTATGTAAATGTCTGTAAATAAGAGAGCATATGCTACCAGGTTATATGTTAAACACTTGATGGAGATGCGATCAGAGATTTTCTTACAGAGGAAGAGATCAGTCTTCACTGGTTCGTGTTTGCACAGAACAGATGTGGCTGTGTGATAATGAAAATGGGTGTTTTCTCATCAGTAACGTGTCTTCCCCAGGAGTGAATGCACAGGGCCAGCAAGTGTTTCTGAAGGATATCTGGCCAACTCGAGATGAGATCCAGGCAGTGGAACGGCAGTATGTCATCCCTGGGATGTTTAAGGAGGTCTATCAGAAAATAGAGGTGAGACTCTCAAAGTAATTAAATGAATAAATAAATAAATAAAGCAGGAGAAAATGAATGGGAAAAGAGCCTCGGTAATGCTCGTCCCCGATGGCCAAGGCCTTCTGGCCAGGGTGAGGGTTTAAATGAGAGTAAGATTGTAGGATAGGGTGATGGGCATGGAATCTTCTCATTGTTCCCCCGACACGCTGCTCACTGGGTAATAGTATCAGGGGCCTTTGTCAGCCATCTGACTAAATGTGTTTCGACAAAGACTAAGTTACGGATCTATGAAGAAAATTCAAGCCAACTTAGGTGCACAGTGGCTGTCATTTGCAGTCTAGTGTCCGTGTAACCTGGAAGCCCAGTATTTTAAGAATATATATTCATTATCTATTGGTTCCATTGCTGATGGGGATGGGACTCGTGAGGCCCCATCCCTCCCTCATGAGCAGTGGCTTGCAGGAGAGGACTTGTTTCTTCAGTAGTGTAGCTGCCGAGAAGGAATCCAGGCTCCAGGAACTCACCCCATCCATGCCCACATAAGCAATGCTGATTAAACTGAGCAGGTCAGAAGAAAAAGGCGTGAACGCAGGAGAGAGGGGGTGAGAAGAAGGGAATGGGGTTAGGAAGAATTGGAGGGGACAAGAGGGTAATGGGGGGATGTGCCCTAGAACATTGTACACATGTACATGAAATCATTTAAAAAAACAGATATAGACACATATATTGGAAATAAAAGTAAGTAACACTTAGTATATTAAAACAAAAGTATTTTGTGTCTGTGGGTGCAAAGCCAGTGGGAGCCTTGGCCTTCCCAAGCTCTGAGTAAAAGTCACCCATCTGGGCTGACACCATCTACTGCAAACCTCCCTGGGCTTTGGACTGAGGTCCCTAGTCCCACAGTGACTCTCAAGTGGCAGTTTCCCTCAGCACTGCCAACATGGCTTCTTCAGTTTGATCATGGTAGATAGTTATCATCAGAGAAATGATAGTAGCCAGTGTCTTCACAGGAAGAGGTCACCTGCCAGTGAGTCCCTGGGGAGAGGGCGAAGGGGCTTTTTACCAGGACAGGACTGAACAGGATTCCTGTCACTTAAGCAAGACAAAGGAACCACTTTGTTTATCTGCTTAGAATCAAAGTGGATTTTTTAGACCTCTTTTGAATGATTTTATTTATCTATCAGATTTTTCCTGGACTGGAATGTGATTGGTTCTTTCCCCTTTTTTTAAACTGTTTTCAGACTGTAAACAAAAGCTGGAATGCCTTAGCAGCCCCGTCGGAGAAGCTGTACACATGGAACCCCAAATCTACTTACATTAAATCACCGCCATTCTTTGAAAGCTTGGTATGGATTTTTATTATATTTGTAGATGTAGTTTTACATTGTACTTGTTAGTGTCTGTGTGTGATGCTTGTGTGTGAGCACGGGTGTGGGCGTGCCATGACATGTGGAGCTCAGAAGCAGCTTACCGAGTCAGTTCTCACTGTCCAGTGGGTTCCAGGGTCAGACTCAGGTCATCAGGGTTGGTGTTGGTAAGAACCTTTACCTCACGCCATCTCACTGGCCTAATGGTCCTTTTTTTAACATGTATGACGGTTTTGCTTGCGTGTTTGTCTGTGTACTACATGTGCCCAGGATGGTGACAGAGGGCATCGGATCCCCTGTACCTAGAGCTACAGACAGCTGTGAACCATCATGTAGGTGCTAGAATCTGAAGAGCGTCCAGTACTCCTGACCTCTGAGCGATCTCTCCAGCCCGTGGCTTTTTACTTCTAAACATAAGCTTTTTTTTTTTTAATTTATGTACATGTATATACTGTAGCTGTCCTCAAACACACCAGAAGAGGGCATCAGATCCCATTACAGATGGTTGTGAGCCACCAGGTGGTTGCTGGGAATTGAACTCAGGACCTCTGGAAGAATAGTCAGTGCTGTTAACCGCTGAGCCATCTCCAGCCCAAACATAAGCTCTTCTAAAGATGTTTTTTCTTGTACACTAAAACCTTAGCATATTCAACCTGATGATGCTGAGAGTGCTATAGAAGGCTTGGGGGCTTGGCTGTAGGCACTGTTTCTCTGGCTGGAAGTTCTGTATGGTTGTACAGAGACATCCTGGTGAGAAGACACCACCTAGGAGAGGACCAGCTAAGGTCTGCAGGACTGGTCCAGGAGAATATCCTCAGGGCTTGCTGCCATATTTATTTAACTCTTACACTCCCTGATGGGTTACTAAGGGGCTGGAGGGAGAACTCAGCCTCCCAATTGTCTGTGGCTTCTGAAGAATTATATGGAGAAGCAGAAAGGATGTCCTTGCAGCTGCGTTCCTATTGCCTTGGAGGGCTGGTGACATGTGTTACCTCTGTCCAAGGTTCAGAAGCAAATACTTTCAGTTTACCTCACTTTTAATTGTAAACACCATCGCTATGAGCCAGTAATTGAGGATTTTCCATGCACTGATGTGGAACTCCCAGTCTGGTTCACTTGGTGTCGAGCCCACGTGGTGACCTGTCTGGGAAACCTGGGCAAATGCTAATTTGTGCGTTCTTCAATAGACTTTAGATCTTCAGCCACCCAAGTCTATAGTGGATGCCTATGTGCTGCTAAATTTAGGAGATTCAGTAACAACAGACCATATCTCTCCAGCTGGGAATATTGCAAGAAACAGCCCTGCGGCTCGCTACTTGACCAACAGAGGGTGAGTGTGGGTAAGGCAGGAAAGGCCTTAGGTAGAGGGAGGAAATACAAAGAAGCCAAGGCGGCATTTCTCTCTTCCTGTGGTGAACTTGGGGTCAGACTGTTCTGTTTCTTTGCTAAGCACGAGCGCTTGAAAACCAGTTGGTTTCCCTGCTTTTGTTGCCTCGTTAGCACCGTAGGAGAGCTTGTGAGTCACAAATGACCAGGAGGGACCGCTTTCTAAGCAAGTGTGTGTCTTAGGCTCATCCTTCTTACGTGTGAAGCCTTGGCAGAGCCTGCTTGAGGCCCAGCAGTGATATAACCTGGAATTCATTGTCAGTTGTCATGTCCTGTTGACAGTACTTACAGGACTGCCTCCAGAGTGTACAGCTCACTCACCCCTTCATCCCCTTAGACAAGCCAATAGTCATACCCACATCATTCTCTGTCAGCTCAATACAGATAATGAGTTTGGGGGTTCTAATTTCCATGAGAGTCATCCTGATTTCTGTCCCTCCCTTCTGAATCAGTTCTTTTGAAGAGAGGACTCAGAGCAAATTTGAGAATCAGGATACTCTTTTCTCTGGGTGGAGGGATTCTCTTGACATTGAAGTTCTTTAGAGCAGCGATTACCAGCGATTATAATGTACCCCCTCCCTGCAATGCACAAACCCACAACATTTGGGATAGGATTTCAGATGGTCTGAGGCATGCTTGCCTGCTCCTGAAACCCAACAGAAGCTCCCCTAACTTCCAGATAGCGATGTAACAATTAAATCATGTTAACATTGGCCCCCAGTATCTAAGACACAGGCAAGTAATCTGGCTGCTGTGTTGGCTGAAACATGCTGTTCTTGCCATCACAAAGTCCCCTTCATCAGTTCTCACGCATAAGATATAGGATCTCTGGCCCTGCCATGAGTCTTCTCTTCTGAGAAGTTGTGTGTTGCATTGCTTCCCTTGACCTGCAGGCCCTGATTATTCAGGAGCAAATTCAGGCCCACTTGTAGTTAGTTTCTGTGGCATGTTTAGTTGTTCTCCATTCTATTATCCATCTTACTGGCCTCCCTATTGCTTTTAATTCTGTTTTCACTTCTGTGTAGCTGTGTGAGCTTCCTGCTGAGTTAAGAGCATATTCAGATGTGAAAGACTCTTGAGTTGATCCTGGGGAGTTGATTCCTGGGCTGCTCTGCTCCTGACTGACTGACCCAGTTAAGGCTTTGAGAGCAACCTGGAGAGCAGTATCTAGCAGATTCAATCTAGCAGATGACATACTTGGCTTTATGGCTTTTTCCTTTTAGTCTGTGTGTAAGCTAAGTTTATTCTTCATTCACATGCTACCCCACATTCTGTTATTAGCCTAACACCACGAGAGTTCAACTCTTATGGCTCCCGCCGGGGTAATGACGCCATCATGGCACGGGGTACATTTGCCAACATTCGCTTGCTGAACAAGTTTCTGAACAAACAGGCACCTCAGACTATCCATCTTCCTTCAGGAGAAACCGTGAGTATCATCTCCCTTGCTTCAGAAACCAGTGTCTGTCAGGAGGCTCTGAGGCCTGATCTTCACAGCCACAGCCTGCCTGACTTCTGACAGTTCCTCTTGCTAGGTGTCTGTATGTGTCCTGTTTATCATGGTAGAGATTGGTCTCCTGTTGATTAGAGATTGGGCACCAGGGTTCAACTAAGTCTTATTTCTTAGAAGTTGAGCTTTAAAAAAAAAATCTCTAAGCAAAATTTCATCTGTGTTTAAAGTACTTGAAGACTAAATTCCAGATTATTTAGGATTTATCAAGAAGGACTATTGTGTGTCCCCAGTGATATTTGTTCTAACCCATTGCATTCACAGCAAAAAGAAGGGCTGTGAAGGCCCTTTGAGGTTTGCCCAGTCCTGAGGGAGCTTCTTAAAGCTGGTGTATATCCTGGAGTTGTTTATTTGTAGATGTGGGTATATGAGGTGGGGAAGCCTGGACTCAGAGCCATCTGAGGTGAGGTCCCAGTACCAGTTATTTACCTCCGTAGGCCTTTTTATAAATTTGTGACCTAAAAATAACACCAGCCTTACGTGGCTTTGAGGCTTAAAACAATATGGATGACCTGTAAGATCTAGCTAGGATGGTGCCACATCTGCAGCTCCCCAAGGACTGTCATGGAACTGCCTGATAACTGCCTACCTCCTTGAAAGTGACCTGCCAGCTGCTGTTGCTGCTGCTGCCTCTTCCTCCTCCACCTCCTCCCCCTCCTCCTCCTGCTCCTCTTTCTCTTCCTCCTCTTCTTCCTCTTCCTCCTCCTCCTCCTCTTCATCTTCCTCCTCTTCTTTTTCTTTCTACTTTTCTTTTACTGAAAATATATTTTTTTCATACAATATATTCTGATTACAATTCCCCAACAACAACTCAAAAAGGGCTCCAGCTGGTGTCAAGTTGATGTAAAAATTACCCAGCACAACAGTCTTAAACAGTGTAGCAGGCAGGTGGGGTGAAAAGAAAGCAGGACACAGGGACACTGCAAAAAGTAGAAAACTTAAAAAAAAAAATCTTCACAGAGATCTTTGTAGCAATAGCAGTCATAAGCCAAGATCCTTGTACATTATGGAAAAAGAAAGAAAACATTAAAAGATTCAAAGGTGAGGCTGATGTCTTTAGGAAATTTCTGTGACTATACAGGAGTGACAAAGGGAGAGATGAAGGAAAGGGACTGACCTCACACAGCATGACATCTGATTACCACAAGTCCTATAGATAAGTGACTAATGGGCACCAGAGAGATGGCTCCTCAGTCAGGACCACTTGGTGCTGCTCTAGAGGCTTGTCCCCAGCACCCACATCAGGCTGCTCACAGCCACCTGCACCAACAATTCCAGGGGACCTGGCACCTCTCCTGGCCACCACAGGCACCTCTATGTAGGATGTGTATGTACATCTGTGAACACACACAAACACAAATTAAATAAATCTTCAAAAGGGGGTGGGGATGGATAGACATTGCCAAATTACCTAAGAAACAACTCAAGGAATATGTTTTGAAAATCACTGAACAGTAGCCACATGATTGCAAAGACCTTGTCAAGGTTACAGTGTTTGAAATTAGGAAAAATAGAAATTTTGGAAGGAACATCAGCCTCCAGGTAACATAAGCTACTTCCGTGTGGGATTCTGAGCTGCAGTCTCAAAAAGCACTTTTTAAGACACAAACTTCCAAGCTGTTAATTCACAAGGCTAGTAATCTCTGGAATGTGGCAGGTAGGTGGTTTCCTTCTGATCCTGCTATTTCCTTGTGCAGAGAAAGGCACTTCCTGTTGTTGCAGTAGAACCAGATTAAGCTTATCCCACTAACTTGAAAATAAATGAGACACAGACTGTGGTTATTTTATTTGCCTTTGACAATTACTGAAGATAACCCCTAATCTACTTCCCTAACTGTGGGCCTGGCCTGGCTACCTCCCCAGAGATGTACCCCAATACTTCCTGTTTCTCCTGACCACATGGTCATGGTCCATCTCCCCTTGTGGAGGCTTTCTCCTCTCCTCCTCTTGTTCCTCCTCGTCTTGATTCTCTACTCCCAACCAGGTAACTCAAACCCACCTACCTCTAATCCCTCCACTAATAGGCTATAGCTAATTTTATTTAACCAATAGTTTTAAATTAAGGAACAAGGTTTGTACAACAAAGGCTTGTAAACATGAACATGAGAATTCACTCGTGGGCCTAGACCTTTGGGTAGAGCATTAACGATACACAGCAGCAGACCAAACCTCAACAGGTTGTATAGCGTTTCTGAATTCATGAGTTCTGTCTAGCTCAAGATTTAGGTGATAACAAATGAAATGAAGCACAGCCCCAGCCATCCACCAGGATTTCAACATGTGAAAAAGGCTATTTCAGGGTTTACCCAAAGGCTTACCTTGAGCCCCTTTCAATTGACTCCTTTTTAAGGGGCTTTGTTTTCTAGTCCACTTAGCTATAAACAATTTTTAAATTCCCAATCACCAGTGATGCCATCAGATGTCTGGGGAATTCTCAACTCAGCGGAGTATCCTGTTAGAAGCAAATTTGTTTGTGGAAGGTGTTTCTCATTTATTAAATTAGCTGACCCTCCCTGACCTGCTTCATGTTTCCAAGCATGCTTCTGCTGCCTCTACCGTAGCCTGCACATAGGGGGACAAGAAGACTTTGTATTTGATATATAACTTACAGACATACCGTAAGGGTTCAGAATCACTGAAGGAAGACCCCAGGCTCAGATAGTATACAAAGACAGAGCATTTATTCTTCAGAAACATGAAGCATGCAGTGGTCAACCATTTTTTGAAATGGCTACCCCAGACAAAGGTGCTCAGGCCTTCTTATAAGGAATGGGGTTAGGAAGGCAGTGGGGTGGGGGGTAGGGGGAGAGGCCTAGAAGGATTAGGTAATCTAAAATTTCATTGGTGGGTGCTCTTGACATCACAGGTGGTTAGTGGTTTGCTTTCCTTTGTCATGAACGTTTAACCACGGGATGAGATAGGGCTGCCCATCCCAGATGGCCCGTCCTGAAAGAAGATATTTCCCATTTTATTTTTTATGGTTATCTCCAGGCTGTTCTTTGGGAGGGGGTTTTATGGCCTTGTTCCTGGATTTTATGGTCTGTCCCTGGAGCTGGTGCCTATGGCCTTCTTTTAGAAATCAGGCCTTGTCCTCAAGTGGAGACAGATGGACTCTATGCTGTCCTTTCTATACCATCTTGCATTTCTCTGCCTTTCAGAACTGACCGTTGCTGGCCCTCTAGTACTGGGCCAAAACCTGGGCTTCATGGGATTTTTCTTTTACTTGCAAATGGTTTAGTCAATGGAAGAAAAGGGAACAAAAACTTTTGTAGTTCCCTTTTTCCCCTGTGATGCCGTAGGATTTGAGTTTATAAAATTGGAGAGCAGTTACAGTTCAGGCAGAAGGAAAGTTCAGTTTGGTAGAAATGAGTAGGGACGTAGAGACGGAGCACGTGGCTGGTCTTTAGCTGTTATTGACTTAGCTGCCCTTGAGGTCCTTTGGACCCTGTACTGTTACTGGTGTCCTCTGGTCTGTGCGCCCACTCTTGCCTTTCATCTATCTATAAAACCTTCCTTTTCTCGTCTCAGCTTGATGTGTTCGATGCTGCTGAGCGGTACCAGCAGGCTGGACTTCCCCTGATTGTTCTGGCTGGAAAAGAATATGGTTCAGGCAGCTCCCGAGACTGGGCAGCCAAAGGCCCTTTCCTGCTGGTACGTATGGAGCAGAAGCTTCCTGGTGGGGTCACGCGGAACCCGGAGGGTGTTTGGGAATGGATGCTATGGTTTTGTTCCCAAGACACTATGAAAGAGCAGACTATGAAGAGCATGTGATATTCACCCAGCCTGCTTCTCTGTGGATCCAGACTGCTTCCACCCAAAGGTCAGCAGTCCATAGGAGAGCAGGCTCAGGTATATCAGCAGGGCTTGGGGCTGGCAGCATCAGCTCTGCAGGTGTCCTTCGATAACGTTGGAGGAAAGCTGACACATTCAGAAATGGATATGCAGCTATCTTTCATATATATATTCATATATATACATATACACATATATATACACATACATACACACATATATATACAGAGAGAGAGACAGAGAGAGACAGAGACAGAGACAGAGAACACAAGCAGAGGAAAGGAGAGAATGGCTTTCTTAATTGTCACCACTCTAGAGGATCTGGAAGAATAGAGTCCATAAATGAGGCCAAATAAAGTCTTACGCAGTTTCAACTCTATAAAACTGATTGTTACAAAGTCTAAATAAGATAGACATTAAATAAGTTATTATTTTTAAAAAAGTCTTATGCAGTAGCCAACTTTATTCAGGGCCTTAGACATTTTATACTGTGAGAGTTAAGAAAGGTCACATGAGTAACACTCTCATGAGTTCAAGCTGTGTATTATCAAAAGGTCAAGATGCACGTGGCAAAAGCATGTTTTCCATAGAAGTATATAAAGGGTAATTTAAACATTTAATAGAATTATAGAATAATAATTTAACAGAATTAATAGAATAATAACAGCAAGCAATAATGAGTGATCCAAAATAAACTCACTCCTGTCCGCTACACCTGAGAAGAGCACTGGAAACACTCCAAGAACAATTCCATGTTTTGGAGAAACTGAGGTCACAAGACTCTTTTGTTGTTTCTTGGAGTTTTCTCACGTGACTCCATTCCCGGACCATGTTCCAACACAGTCTCGGAGCTCAGAGCCCCCAAGTGTATTAAGTTCTAGTCCTCTGTGAATGTAAGGAGTACACTGCAAGCTGTGAGGGAGCAGTGAGGAGCTGGGTAAAGCTAGAGTGGGTGCTTGATTTTAAATTTCATGTATTTAGTATGTTCACCCGTGCTCATGCATACACAAGTATGCAAACGAGCGCCCACACAGCCACAAGTCGGAGGAAAGATAGCTTGTAGGAGTTGACCCTAGCCTTGAGGGACCTAAGGTGTGATGGCAGGTGAGGTTACCCACTGAGCTATCCCACCAGCCAAAAGGTGTGCACATTTGATATTCTGCCAGTGTTTCTTGACTTTGGAAATCCTTGTGGGAACATTTTAGGTGTTCTCCCTAGAGAGTACACTTCGTTTAATAAAAGCTTAGACACTGGGATTTTTAAAACCTCCCCTGGTGAGTCTAACATGCGACAGCTTCAACACCTACTACTTTATAACCAGGTTCTTGACAGTCAAGGTTCTGGTGCAGTAGATCTGAGGTGGTATCTAAGAATTGATAACTAGTAAGAAGACCTAGTTACTCCAGTTCTCTGCTGTGTTGGTTACTGCTATAACGTTGACAATTACACACGAACAATAAAAGATCCTTTATAGGAAGCATCATAGCAATGCTATTAAGTGCAGTTTGGTTCTGAAATAGGAGGTTTGAAAGCCATGCTAATCGTTTACTTAGTAGTACAGTCTTAATGTCAGTTTTGATTAAACCCTTTGTGTTTACTGATGTGTGCCCACAATAAAATAAAACTCAAAGAAATAAAAACAATTTTTTTTATATTTGAGATGCATTCCAGATACAGATTAACTGAGGGCTCTTGTATCTCAAAGTGGTTAAATGCATAGTCAGACCACATGGGTTCCAATACTACATCCCACCTCTGAGACTCCCTCAGTGAAAGGGAATTGTAATAGCATTGGCTGTATCTCGAAGCTGCCAGATGACAGGAAAGAATTCAAGTAGGTGTTTACAGAGTGCTGGTGAATTGTAGGCAATCAGATAGGACTCACTCCTCAGTTATTTCTAACCAGAAGATAGCATTTTGGATGAAGGACTAACAGGTCTACAATCTAGCTGTGAGAATTTCCAAAGAAGCCTCTTGCAAAGTGTCTGTGTACCTCCTAAAGAAAAGTTGGAGCTGTGTCTAAACTTCTCTCTTGGTTCATCAGGGAATCAAAGCTGTCCTGGCAGAGAGCTACGAGCGTATTCACCGCAGCAACTTGGTCGGCATGGGGGTGATCCCCCTTGAGTATCTCCCTGGTGAAACTGCAGACTCTCTGGGACTCACAGGTCGGGAAAGATATACTATCAACATTCCTGAAGACCTTAAGCCTCGAATGAAGGTTCAGATAAAGGTAAGCAGGGCTTCTGTCATAGACCTGCAGGGCCTGTTGTTGATCATCAGTTGATAGGAAGAAAGAAGTTAGTGGGGTGGAGTTAACTCCAGATGACATCAGATGTGAAGCCTCCTGGTCCGGCTACCTTCCAGATAGAATAAAATCTGCTGACTAGCATAGCTTTTTTTTTTTGGTTTTTCGAGACAGGGTTTACTCTGAGTAGCCCTGGCTGTCCTAGAACTCACTCTGTAGACCAGGCTAGCCTTGAACTCTCAAACTCAGAAATCCGCCCGCCTCTGCCTCCCAAGTGCTGGGATTAAAGGCGTGCGCCACCACCGCCCAGCTAGCATAGCTTTTTTAAGTCATAGTGCTATCAATTTGTTCTGAACTCCCATCCCCAACCAATTCCATTCTCTCTGTCTCTTTTAGCCCCGAGATTAGTGATGAAAGTTCAGAGAGGATGCTTTCCCGTTATCTAAAATTTCCCTTTTTCCTTTTTTGATGCAATTGTGATCAACAGATCCTATACGCACTCCCACCGTGAACCTCGTCCCAAGCCCAGGCTTTAATTAGCCCCATGGTTGTGCTTTAAAAGAGAAAAGTCCCTGACAGTCTCCTGCATCTGAACTCTTGGTAACCAGCAGTGGTGCCTCTGGAGGTTTAGGTGTACAGCCATGCTGGGGGTAGTATGTGACTGGGGGCAGACTCTGAGAGTTCAGAGACTCTCAATTGTAGTTCCCTCCCACTGCTTCGTACTGTGGTTGAGGAGAGGGGCGCTCATCTTCCCGCTCCTGCAGCAGTGCCTGCCACCATGATGGCCTCTGAGCCTCTGGAAACATAAGCCAAGGTAAACCCCTTCTATAAGTTACTTTGGTCATGGTGTTTTATCACAGCGAGAGAAAAGTCCCTTGTACCAAAGTCCCACGGGGATTGAGCACTACAGAGACAGCTGCTGAGGTCCCAGGATGACCCAAGGCAAGCAGATGGATCAGCTAAGGAACAACTCCAGAGACCTCTGCTTCCCAGAGCACATCCAGAAAAGACTTAGGGGAAAGCATCAGAGTGTCACTCATAGATGCTGTCCTGAAAGGCCACTTTCCTCCCATGTGTCTCTCACCTGCATCATTAATTCTGCAGTGCTTCTCAACCTCTAGTGGGCACGTAAATCCCCAGGGTTCTTGTTGGGTGCAGAGACCACTGGTTCCATCTGCTGCTGGCACCGCTGGTATATGCCACACCCCAAGTGAGGCCAGAGGGCAGCCAAGCCAGGTGGAGTAGTCTCCCTGAGGCGGGTGTCTCGGGTCAGCCTCTCCTTCAGCAGCACTCTGCTCCTTTACTCTTGCAGCTGGACACTGGGAAGACCTTCCAGGCCGTGATGAGGTTCGACACTGATGTGGAGCTCACTTACTTCCATAATGGAGGCATCCTGAACTACATGATCCGAAAGATGGCCCAGTAGGTGCTGGCCTCTCAGGAGACCCGCGCTTGGTGCTAGACCCAATGAGGTACCAGGCTCCCCACTGGTGGAGGCCTGGTAGAGCAGCCACCTCTACTTCTAATGAGGGTGCTGGCAGGATGAGCAAGTGGGCACTGCCATTCCTGGAGGCACAGAGCCAGGAGTCTCTAGTTTTGTGATTTGTTAATCTTTTTATCCCTTTCTATAATCTGGAATCTAGAATCACGGGAAGGTCCATAGTACCAAAGAGAACTACTTTCTCTTTAAAGTCATGGACATTGATTTTTTACTCTGACTAATTTTCAGCTGAACACTAGCCAGTATTCTCAGAAGTGGCTCCTACCCTTTCTGTTGTTCTGTGTTTTTCTCTGCTCAGTGACACCCTTCCCTGGAGTGTCCAGTCCTCCGTATATTACACCAGTGTTAACTGACATAGCTTAAGAACTTCTTCACACTTCAGATTCATAGCAGTGATGTGATCCCTTCCTTCAAGTGAGCAAAGACCTCGTGGATAGGTCAGCCGTCAAAAGTGTTTGATTATCTACCTTTCAATCAACATGAGATTGCCTCTTACCATTTTCAACGTTTGTTGACATGGGTTTGAAAGTAACTGGGGAAAGAGACGGGATTTCTAATTTGAATAAGATTAAATATATTTTCATGAAAAGTGTTGGCTTTGGAATTGAGTTTTGTTGGGGTTGTCGTGACACTGAGAGTCCCAAAAGGTCTGCTGTTTGTCCCACTGCATCTGAACAGCAGGCATAGAGGGACATTGAGGAGCCAGTGTGTGAGCTGCCAGTGTAAGAACAGCGGACAAGAAGACGGCTTCTACCTTGGTCACAGCAAGGAGCAAATCGTAGCTTCTTGGTGTCCTAAAGTCTGTTCACTGATCTTCATAACTGGAATTAGGTTAGGGTGTGCCTTATTCCGCTCCGGCTGCTGTAACAAAAGGCCTGAATAAGAACTAGAGATCTGAACTGTGTGGTAATGGCCTGAGCCCTAAGCCGTGGCTCCAGACCACCCAGTGCCTGCTATGGAGTAAACTTTCCATTGGGGGAGGGCTTGTTTTGTGTCGCTTAGCTTTTTTCTTTTTCTTCTTTTTTTACTTATTTACTTTTGTTGTTGTTGTTGGTTTGGTTTGGGTTTTTTTTGAGACAGTGTAGCCTTGGCTGTCCTGGAACTCACTCTGTCATCCAGACTGGCCTCGAACTGAGAGATCCACCTGCCTCTGCCTCCTAAGTGATGAATTAAAGGTGTACCCACCACCACTGGACTGTGTCTTTTTATTTTTATTTTTTAACTAAAAAGTAAAAATTATATTTACTTTATATATTTTTTTAATATGTAAATACCATAGAGTGGCTAAAATAAGCCACATATTCTTACTTTTTGTGGTGAGAATACTTCCAAGAATATAGTTTTAAAAGAATATAGAATGTATAGGTATTAACAGCAATCTCCATGCTGTACCACAGAGCTCCCACGCTGCTTCCTCCTGAATGAAATCCCATGTTCTTCCATGTTTTCATGACAGCTTGTACTATTTTCTCCATTCATTCCACAGCTGACCCTTCCCTGCTTCCTTAGCAAGGGTGTCCTCTCGGCCCCTTGTAACTACTGCCCTGTGCATCTAGCTTTAGACATTGGTAAGATTGTGCAGTTCTTTTTCTTTTGTGCATGGCTTTTGTTCATTTAACACAATGTCCATAAGGTTCGTTCCTGTTGCCACAAATAATATATTTGTGCGTACACACATGTCCTCTATCTTTTCTTTACTGATTCAGCCATGAATAAACAACGATCCAGATTCTACCTTAGCTTTTGTGAATCGTGCTGAAATGAATGTCGATACAGGTGATTCCTCAACATACTGTTTTAATTCCTTTGGGTGCATAGCTAGAAGTGGAATCTCTGGGTCATAATAGTGTCTTTTGTGAGTTTCTGGAGGGCTTTCCTCCAGAAACATACTGCTTTCCTTAGTGTCTTTACATGTACATGTGTATGGCCTCCAACTGAGTGTGCACATCCCTCTCCCACACTCTCACCAGCACGACCCTTTATTTTTTTGATATGGTTTTAACTATGGTTTTATTTACAGCTCCCCGATGATTAATGATGTTGAGCATATTTTCATATATGTATTGATCACTTTTGTGACTTATTTTGAAATATGCCTGTTCCAGTCCTTTGCCCATTTTTAATTATTTCATTTTGTTGTTGATTTCTAATACCACCTATTCTACATTGTAAGTATTTATGAAATATTTTCTCCGATCTTATAGTTAGTCTAACTCTTGACTATTTCCATAGCTAGGAAACTTTTATTTTGCAGCGGTCTGATGGGCCTGTTTGCCTTTTTGTTGCTGAAGACATAACTATAAACAATGCCATAGCATTTCCTTTGAGTTGATCTAATCCTTTCTTAGAGTGAGGTCTTATGCTTAAGTCTTCAGTCTATTTTGAGTTGATTTTTCTATAGCGTGAGATAAGGGTCCAGCTCCGTTCCCTTGCATGTGGCCATCCAGTTTTTCCAACAGCATTTATTGAAGAGACAGCTCTTCTCCGTTTGTTGTGTGTCTTGGCTTCCTTGTCAATCAGAGCCACACTGCTTCTGCAGCCTCTGTTCTTTTCCACTGGGTTCTGCATCTCTTATGTTAGCAGAATGCTATTTTCACTGCTGTGTCTTTGTAATATATTTTGAAGTTTGATAACAGTAATAATTCCAGTTTTGTTTTCCTTCTTGGCATAGCTTTGGCTGTTGGGAGTCTTGTGGTTCCTCATACATAGAGTAAGGCATCTTTTGTTTCTTAGAAAAACATCTTTGGGAAAAAATAGCATTGGGAATTTCCTGGGATCACATTGAATCTGCAGATCATGGTGTTACTACAGACATATTAATAACTTTAATACTTTTACTGCATGGAATTTATTTTCTTACTTTACCCTTTGGCTCATTAATTATTCAGGAGCATAGTTTCTAAAACACATTTCTAAAACACCTCCTGTTACTGGTAAATGAGGACTTATTTGGCTGTGGTTGTCCCTTCCGGCACCTTCCTGTACGTGCAGGTGATGTTCTTTAGTGGGGACTTCTGTCTGTCTCGTGGAGGTTTGGAGCTGTGCTCATGGTGAGCCTCCAGGAGTCATGTAATATCGAAGGCTGTTTAAAAGCTAGGAGCACATATGAAAACTTGCGCTTCCTCCCACATTTTGTATTTTAACTCCACACTGTGTTTTTATACTATGCATCTAGTAACACATGGTTGTGATTATCATTTTAATGGTGTGGAAAGAAATAGTTGGAAGATTTGCATCCCGTCCAGCAGCGATCTCATTGGACGTGTATTGGATTCCCCTGTGAGTTTTATGCTTGTGTCTTTTCTTGTTTGTAGCTTAAGGAGCTGCCTGTGGTGTTCCCTGTGGTGGGGCTGTTAGGATGGCTTCCTCTATCTTGTATTTGAGAAAGCCTTTATCCTTTCCTCAATTTTGAAGAACAGCTATGCCAGGATCAGTATTCTTGGCTGGCGGCTTTTAGGTGTGGGGCTGTTTGATCTTGGCTTCCTTGACCTCCAGAAATATCTACGCTTAAGCTATCTCTTCTGTGAGGTTTTGTTGTAGCAGCTCGAGCAGACTCAGACGCTGGCTGTGAGGGAAGTAGCCTCTGAAATAAGCTTCTTCCACTCTCCACTCCTCTAGCTAAACCTGTCTCTTTGTGCTTCATTATTGGCCAGTGTCCAATGCTGGCCCAAAGTTAGACTGTACAGCCTTTTACCTGGGTTCTCAAGGCAGTGCTGGCCCACCTACTCCCAATCCCTTCCTCCTTGTAAAAGAGATAGATACCTCCTCCTTTGTGTTTATGATTTTCCAAGTCCATGACCACCTTCTCCTTCCTAAACAACAGGCATCCCTTGCGTCCACAGCGACCCAAATGGCAAATTTACTTAACACAACAACAAAGTACAAGTATCTTTCAAGTGTGGTGTGTGTGTGTGTGTCTATCAATGTACATACAGTGTTTTTATGTTGCATAGAAAATGCTTTATAAAGGAAGAATATGCTAGTCATCTCAGTCTTGGGGTGTAAAAAGCATTGTGGCTTAAGCAAAAGAAAAGTAAATTGTCCCAGGTAACTAAAGAATAGTGACATCATGGCCTCAGACTTAATCTAGTGATTTAAACACAGGCCACTTTCCCGTTCTCTCTCCTCTCAGCTCACATTCTCATGGCCTCTGAGACAGCATCTGTTTATATCTCCTCTTCTGAGTCCCTCCATGGGTAAGGGTTATGGCTACCATCAGCTGTTTGGTGAGAGTTAATCATTTGTCATTGCAAACATCTGCCTTGGGCACAGACAATAGGACTTCGTACGCATCAATGAAGAACCTTAGCTTTGGCACAGCCTCTCCCTCAGGACTGTGTGGGTGTCTACATTACTTTTCTGTTGCTGTGGGATTATATCCTGACAAAAGCAGCTTAAGGGAGAAGGGTTTATATTGCTGTAGGGTTCCTGACCAACAGTGTCCATCCTGGTGGTGAGAACATGGTAGCAGACAGGGAAGGCATGGTGACTGGAGCAGGAGGCTAGCCAGTCACATTGCATCTAAGGAAGCTGACTGATCAGGAAGAGGAACCAGCTATAAAATCTCTAGATCCATTCCCAGTGACACACCTCCTCCAGAGAAGCTCCATCTCCTACAGGTTCCCCCTCCTTCCCCAACAGTACCATGCTCTAGAGCCCAAGTGTTCAAAGGAGGGTACCTTCATTAAGATGGCGTGAAGCAGCCCGTGGATTGTATAGGAATAAAACAGCATTGCTTGTGAAAACAGGAACTGTGGTTCCACCGGCCCCTTAGGAAGTTGTTAAATGTTGTAAGCACGGATGTGATTTAACACTCAACTAATTTCTGCTCTCTTCGTCAAATTGCCCTAAACAAAGATAATCATAGCTGGCATTTTTATTAGGAGTTTAAAAGTTTGTACCCAACAAGCCTGCACCTGTTTATTAAATACAGATTTGTAAAGTGAAGTAGTAGTTATGCTTTATGGTGTATTAACACAGTTACTGGCATGATCCACAAGTTTACAGTTCACTTTGATTCTACCTATCTTGTTAATATCTCAGCCAGATACCTGTTGGTGGGTTTTTTTTTTTTTTAAACAGGATACTAATTAAAAGGCCCAATGAACAGAAGTGTTTCAGGAACCACTGTTTCACGGGATGTTAGGATGATGGACGGGAGCAACGCAGTGAACCCGTGGGCTCTAAAGATGGAAAAGGTACAAGTCTCCCCGGCCACTCAGTGCGCCCCTCAGGGGACCTCACAACACCATCCTTCCCACAATACATGCGTGCAGAAACACCTGAGTTAGTTCTGAGTCTGCTTTAAGTACAGGATCAGGAGTCCAGCATCCTTATTCACAATGAGGCCTTTGACTGAAGGCTCCAGGTCAGGATGAAAATGCCATGACATCAGTACTGACCACAAAACAGTAAGGTCTGTGGTTGCAAAAGAAGCTGTATCTGAGCTTCAAAAAGGACACATGAATGGCAACCTGCAAAGATTCTAGTGGGGACCATTGATGTGCTCATGGGAGATTCCAGATGCAACTTCTATAAGGAAGTCCAAAGACCAGCACTTTCCCGTCTCTCAAAACCTGCCTGTTCCAT